TACGTACGTACGTACGTACGTACTACTATATATATATATATATATATATATATATATATATATATATATATATATTTTTTTTTTTTTTTTTTTTTATAACATAAATCAGAATTAGTATCAATTTTCTGCATGCTATCTTTAACACACTCCCTTCTGGTCAACAAATTGAATATTGATCAATTCATTTATCTCCTATAATGATACAGTTATTCTTGATTGTGGAATGGGTTTTAAACAATTTTTGTGTGTGTGTGTGTGCAGGCTGTGCAAGTTTTACTAAGATAGAATTTAAAAAATATAAAAAGAAGCTTAAAGATGACATACAGGGTTTTTTGGTAAGTAAATTATCAAAATACTAATCTCTATCTGCATTCAGTAACAGGCTATTAAAATTTCATTTGTGATACACCTGTGATTGAACGTATGTAAAATTATGAACAGAATTTCTGATTTTTCCTTACCTGAATGCTCTAATATAAAGTTAAAATACAGTAAGTCCTTATATAATAGTAAAGAAAGATGATTCCCATATACTTGTATATCTAGATTTTTCCTTAAATTTCAAAAAATTCAGGTTTTCTACGACTGACCACTCGCATGGTACTATGAATGGACATTCTACAAAAGTAGAAAAAAAAAGTGTGAGTGTATAGTCCCCAATCTAATTGATTTGTTTTAAATATTCTATCCTTCATAGAGCAAGTAAAATTTCTTCACAGTCAATGAAATTAGGCTAAGCTTGCTCTATTTTTAAAATTTTTCTGCCTTGTCTAACACTTGAGAGGGGTTCAGGGGGATGATGTAATGAGTTCATGACTGTAGGGGGACTTAGTTTTTTTTTTGCAATCATTTGTTATAACTATCATATGTGTGAGAAATATAGGAAATAACGATATGAATTAATTTTGAAATAAATTTCTTAACTGCAGTATTGCTCCATAAAGAAGACTTAGCTGTCCTATGATGCTTAAAATTTAATTTCAGTTGGGGTGGGGGCGATTTGTCCTTTGAACCCCTCACAGGTGGCACTGCTCCTTTGACCCATGCTGGCAGAGGACCCCCAAACCCCCATTCTACTTTTGATACCTACCCTTTAAATAATAATGACAGACCTGCAGTTAGTCTGCTGAATTATAATGTATTCTTAGTTATGTTTTTCCAAACATGTAAACTATTTTAGGTTATTAGTAAAGGATTATACATTTAGACTAAACAGAATATTTGTTTGATGTTAAACTCAAAGCTACATAATAGGCTATCTGTGCTTCCTAAATATAGCCTTATAAGTTGTTGTTGTTTTCACTTCAAGTTTGTAGAGCTTTGTTAATTCGAGGGTCTCGAGTTCAATTACCATTGTCAGTAAACTTGCTTACCCTACGGCAAAGCTACTAAGACTATTTGCTGCTGTCATTAATGTTGAACTACTGAATAGAGGCAAGGTAACTGGCTGGCAATATCACCACCAACGTTTTTTTGTCTTGTACATACCATTGTATAAGGAACAATGTGCTGATTGACTAAAGAAATGTAATTACTTTATAAGACCATCAATTAATTGATTAGTAAATACCACTACTTACTAGCTCTACTCCACATGCAGTGAGTTAGTCATGTTTCATCATAGTGCTCATTGCTATATAATGTAGTAACAGCATGAATGTTAATCCTGACTTACTAGAAGGTTGGCAGAAAAATTTGATTTCTGGTAGTGATTATTTGTTTCTTGAATCCTGAAAAGAAACCTGTGTTGAGTTTTTTGGTTCTTGGCAGCACGTTAGCGTGTCATAGTTATTGAAATGTAGCTTACATTGTATAACCAAAGACAGTTATAAAGTATTTTGTGCAGGAGTTGGATATGTACATAAATAAATGTGTGCAGTTCTCCAAATGTGGAGGAACATTACATGAAGTCATTCATCACTGTTGTATAACACAAATGAATCAGTTACATAAAGAACACACCAGTTAAGCAACATGTTCAAGAATATAAAGTATTTGATCTGGATGTTTAGACTTTGTGATATAAAGTTAACTGTTGTTACTGATTGACCTTTAAAGTATTATTTGAAAATGCAGTGTGCCTATTATTTTTATTTATACTTGTGAGAAAATGTTTCAAATTTGACACTGAAATATTAGTCAGTGAGGGAATTTTCTTGGAAGGATAAAAGTAATGGTGACTCGCACTATGTAATGAGAATAAAAAATACAGTTTCAATTGTTTTTTAGCAACAGTAGTGCAAGTGCATCCACTGAAACCTGTGGATGCTAGTGGTATTTTTTTGTAGTTGCAGTTAGGGTATGAGCACATGTGAACTTCATACAAATTTCATTTGATTAAGATAATCTGTTGATTACTCTTTTTTTCAAATATATTTTTAGAGTAGTTATAACCCTTTTTCAGTCTACTCACATAGTTGATCTTCTGATAAATTGGAATTAATACTATGTGCATGGTCAGAGTATGCAAACCACAAACATGTACAGTATGACATTCACCATGGTTATCAACGTTTTGTTACCCTACATTACTGATTTTACAAGACTTCCTGTTAGTGTAGAGAACATACCAGATACAATATACAGGGATACTGCAAAACCTTGTACCTTTTTGTGGTGTGTTTTTGTAAGTGGACTGAATGGAACTCAAGCAAAATAAAGAAAACTTAAAGATTTTTAAATTATTCTTTTGTATGTTTATATTGAAATAAATAACTTCTTTGAAATGAACTATTCATTAGGAACTGTATAACGTTATATGTTGGCTTACAAATACACTTATAACAGCAAAAAGCTATATTTCAACATTAGTTTTAATCACAGATGCCTTAATTGGTTAATAGCAGACAATTATTGTTTGTATGTCAAAAAGTAGACAATACAGTTGTAAATCTGACAGGATCATGCTTTTTTAAATTTGGTCTTTAGAAAGACATGTCTTGGTCTTGAGGGTTTTTGAAGAGGTTTTGGTCTTTGCATATCAAGTATTGGTCTTGATCCCATTTCTGATTAGTTATAAGATTAGGAGACTGAATCAGAGGGTGTAGAAGAGTGACAGGTCTAAACAGGTTTTGGTCTCTGCATATCAAGTATTGGTCTTGTTCCCATTTCTGATTGGTTATAAGGTTAGGAGACTGAATCAGAGGGTGTAGAAGGGTGACAGGTCTAAACAGGTTTTGGTCTCTGCATATCAAGTATTGGTCTTGTTCCCATTTCTGATTGGTTATAAGGTTAGGAGACTGAATCAGAGGGTGTAGAAGAGTGACAGGTCTAAACAGGTTTTGGTCTCTGCATATCAAGTATTGGTCTTGTTCCCATTTCTGATTGGTTATAAGGTTAGGAGACTTAATCAGAGGGTGTAGAAGAGTGATAGGTCTAAACTTCATGATAAAACCAAGAAAATTTAACTATATGCTTTAATTGAGGCATCTGTTTAAAGTACATTTTATAATTCTATGATTTTTTTTCTATGTTACTTTAAGTGTGAGAAATATCAATAGTGAACTCTGCAGAATGAATGAAAATTTCAACTGCGATATTTTATTAACCTTTCTTTTCTATCTCTCTGATAGCAAGGGCATAGACACAATTTGGAAAGTTTGGGGCAGGGCTTATGAGATACTATGGTATCTATGTATAACTGGTGTACATATATATCCCCTGACCTTTTGTTTTTGAGTGACAACAGTTACAGCACTTAGTAAGTACATCATTATTCTTAAACAACTATGGTCCAGTTCATTATGAAAATAAATATAGGAATTTTGTCTCAATAAAACTTGAACCTATGGAAAAGTACCCTGAGAAAATATTGAACAATTGAATTTGAGAGTTAGAATGATGAAACACTATATTGGTTATATTTATTGAATAACCTGTATGATAGTTGTCTGTGTTACAAGAATATCTTTTTAAAGCTTTAGTTAATGAATAACATGTCTGATAGTTGTCTTACCAGATATGATTCCAAAAAAATACCAGTTATAACCAATGTTCCCTCTAATTCTTTCAATCCATGTATGGAACAAATTTTTTCATGTGTACCAATATCAAAGCAATGTGCAGATGTGCGCCACTTTTTTTTGGGGGGGGGGGGTTTAGACCATCAACCCTATCGAATCATTAAGTCGCTTTGCAATTTTACCAGTTGGTTATTTGGGCTTTAGCGCGTCTGGAATAATTGTGCGGCAACTTATCAAGTTTTATATGTAGTATTTGTGTTCTATATTGACAGGTTAGTTATTATTGATTTTTTTTCTTGTTCTAGAACACACTTGTCAAAGTCAAAACTGAACAAAGTGGTGATTCAACAAAGGATGACATTATTTCCAAGTTCAGTGAGAGTGATGATGAAACTGTTGATTGTTCACAACATGATGTTATGAGTGTAAAAAGTGAACCAAAAGAAGAGTTTCAACAAATTAACTCTGAGTTAGAAGATTTATCAGGTAAGTACATATATTCCAAATTTATTTTCATACTGTAAGCATACTAGTAGAAAACTGGTATTACTGAATTATGTTGTATAGTTCTAATAAAGTACAGTTTATATAGCATAGTTTATAAAACAGAATTAACTTGACATCAATATAGTTGTCATTTGTTGGCTCATCACAGTAATCTAATAGTATTTGTTTTATACTTCTCTGCCTCAATGACCTTAACTCAGTTTGTTCTCAAATTCTGGGTTCTAAGGTTTCACAAAACAAGTAGTATCAGAACATAAGTGAGGAATAGCTTTGACATTTTTCTACAAATATAATGAAAATATAAAACTGCTTAACATAAGTCAGAAAGAAATAAAAGTACTCAGTCAGTTAAACAGGATTATGGATATAACAAAACCAGACAAAGGAAGAGGGACTGTACTATTGAACAAAAATATATTATATTAATAAATTTCTTTGTGATATTGTAAAAGATGAAACTAAATGGAAGAAATCAGAGAAAGATCCTATGAAACTATAGGAAAATAATTTCAAAACTGTAGTTAATTTAAAAGTTATGAATATACTTTATTAAGACTGACAGGATCACACACAAGCATTTTACGTGGGTTGCTTAAAGTACATAAAAAAATATTTGGTAATTCTGACTGTTTCGACTATTTACACATATCATGAATTAACAGGTTTTCTTGTGAGGTCATTATGCACATGGTTGGGGCAAAAAAAGTATATGATAAAAAAATTCCAAAAGTTACATTCGAAAATTAATTTAAAAACTTTACTATTAATGTATGTGAATAAAATTGGTATCAAAACATATTTTATGATCCAAATTTTCATATTGAGTTTTATTTCCAAATTTCAAAAGAAGATATAAAAATCTTCAATCTTTTCATCTGTGTTATGTGATGCATCTGCTTTCTAAATTCTCCTCTGCAGTTTTTATATCTTCCATAATATATAATATAAGTGTCAAGGCATTAGAAACACAAGTATACATAATGAAATGTAAGAATGTAAAATTTAAATTTCCCACCTTCTCAATTTGTTGAGATATCAATTAAATTTCCATCCACCAGAGAAGTCCGTTCCATTCCCATATAGCTTTCAAGGTATTTATCTTACCATGTGTCCTTAGCTGATGGGCATGTTTATAAAAATCTTATTGCAGACATTTCTTTTTGCAAACGTACATAGAACGTTTACCTTAGAGTGTTTGTGTGTGATAATTGTTATTTATCTCTGAAAAACTAACAGGATTTTTAAAGATAGTTGCAACTTAATTAAAAGCCAATTTATTTGTATAGTTTTGGGACATTCTATTCTAGTGCGTGATTTATTTTTGTGTTCTAAAATATATATTTGAAAGCTACAGGAATTATTTTTTGGACAATCATTATAGTGAGAAAAGTAGGGTTACTGAAACATGAAATGCAAGCTCAAAAAATCCTCACCTTAGATGTAACTGCTTAATTTTTTGTTTTTTACATATATTTTGTATAGATTTTTGAGAAAAGTAATTAGAATATAAAAGTTAGTAACTTTTCACTAACAAATATAATTTAAAAGCTTATAACTTTAGGAATTAAAACCTTGATAGAGCTTGCTACAAGCTGAAAATGCATGTAAAAACTGTAACTAGGTTAGTATATATACTTTATCTGCGATTTATTTCCTTTAAAAAGAGTAATAAAACCTTATTCGTAATAAAGTGTAGTAATAACATAATATTTTTAAAGAAAATGTGTTAAAAAGGTTAAGAGCTAAAATTATAAAGATATATGAATTGAAGATCTGATAATAAGTAATGCATTCAAACAAAAAGAAAAGAGTATTATTTCATGTTTTTCAACTTTTGTACATTGATGATTTTGCTACAGTTAGTAGTGGCTTTATATATTCTCAGGCACATCTTCAGGAAAATAGTTTATTGGAAAACCTGATTTTGTTTGCAGAACACACTTTTATGTTTGACAAATTTCTTGAAGATACATTTAGTAAATTCAGAATTATATTGCCCCAATTGGGACAGTGGTAAGTTGTCAGATTTACAACACTAAAATCAGGGGTTCGATTTCCCCTCGGTGGATACAGCAGATAGACCGATGTGGCTTCGATATAACAAAACACACACACACAGAATTATAATAAACACTACTGTGTTTAGCTTTACAGTTAGAACTGTGCATAGGATTAATGAGCTTACTATTTAATACAGTTTTCAATTTTTCAAAAGGAATGTAAATTTTGAAAACTGTTTATATTGCTAGTTTTGATATTGAATAATCATTCACAAATATACTTTTGGATTAAACATTCGATTTTCTTTTTAACCTGGTTTATAATCAGGAAAACTAAAATAGATTTCCTAATAAATTGCTTAGACAGTTATTGGATTTAGCTACAAAATAATAACTGTGTTTAACGAAGATATATAAGAGCAGATAAATTAAGAGTTCCTCTATGATCTATTATTCCTTTTTAATTTGTTCTTACATTATTATAAAAAACATTGGACGGTTGAATGTTTAGAAGAATTGAGATCTATTTAATACAAAATTATTGAAAATTGTTAATTTAAAAAGGGGGAATAGGGATTTTCAAAAAATACAGAAACAAGATAGGTAGCTTAAAGTGGAAATGTACTTGCAAAAAATAAAACTTTGTAGTGCTGCTGTAAAATAAGTGAACTATATTTGATAACATATTTAATACCTTAGTATGTACAGATTTAATGTATAGAAGCATGTTAAACTAATAAAGCAAAAACTTTAGATAAGTTCTTTCTGTTAACCCATATTATTCAAATATTCTATTATCTATAATCACATTATGTTAATTTCCTGGATTTCTATGCGGAAAGATTAGAAATTTACTGTAATGTGAAACAAAAACAACTAATACCTAGATAATTTTAATGTCTGATTCATATTTTCATCCTTAGCTTCATATTAGTAGTGCTAACACTTCCTCCAATGTTGTGAGGTAAAAATTGTGAATGAAAAAGGTGAAACTTAAAAAAGTCAGGAAATAGTTAATTTTAAAACAGGCAGTCTTACCTCTAAAATACAAAAAACATTTTCTTGTTGAGTTGCTTTCGTACTGTAGACAAAAGTTCAGAATGTTCTTGACACACCGTAGAGCATGCATTAACTTACCCTTAGTTCTCTACTCTCCTATCTTCTGTGTCACTTACTGTCTTGCATCAGCAGTATGTATGTATGTATGTAAGTTATGCTTTCCTGCCATAAGCTGTATCGCGCTGACACTGTTTACTTGAGTTTGTTGCTGATACTTTTAGAAACTAGAAAAATAGTATTTCACTTTTTATACAACTACTCATATTATTGTTCAAGTTCTTGACCCTGATTCTTTTAGTCAGAATCAAGTATCTACTGTGTAGTCTTGATTAACAGTGGGTCTTGCTGATGTTGGTTCTGTTACTGTGTAGCTGTCTTTGACAATATATAAAATATATGTTTATAAAAATAAGGACTTCTAGTACTTATTGCATATTAGAAGTCATTTACACTCCAGTAACAATTGAAGATATTCTTCCATAAGCCTCATGGAGTCTCACAAGTTTGGTTGTCCAAAAAAGTAATACATGTTGCTTTCAAATATGCCTTTTAGAACACAAAATTTATATCAGTCAATAGAATAAAATGTTCCAAAGTACTATAATTTGCCAGCTTTCTTAGTAAGCTAAAAATAATTGAAGAAATTATGTTAGATGTTTGGACAATGTTTGTGCACATACTATGACAGACTGTTAGTGTATGGGTGCCAAAATCAAATAGCTGTGATAAGACTTATGTGGAGGAGAAACTGATCCTGCTGTTGGTTATTGGACAAGTCTGTGAGATTTATTAGCATGTAATCTTGAAATCTAAAACTTCTTTGGTGTTTCTTAAAAATTTATTGATACTTCAATAACTCAAGAAGACAAGAGGCTCAAATTTTAAATTCATTCTCATAAGTGTGCATAGTTTGTGTTTCTAATTGTTTGGAAACTGTGGAAATGTATTATTGCAGTTAGAAAATTCTGATGTTGAGAAACTGGAGCTCAGATATTTCATGTGGCAGAAAAAAATGAAAATTCATAATATTTTTGTATGTTTCTTTCTAATATTAAAAATTTAAAGATTTACGCTTACACTGTATTGTTACTAAAGATAAAATGACAGTCGATCAAATTAAACATGTTTGTTTTTTATTAAGTATTTTAGATACTATTATATTACCAGATATCATGTTTATGAAGATAATTTGACACTTAAATGAAGATACAATGAATAGTTTTTTTCTGTGGCTACACATACCCTTTTAAGTGCATTAAGAATATTTTTCTGCTGTGTTTGTGTTAAAATGTTCACTTTTGCTTGTTATTAATTTTTTACTTTAGCATCTGTTTTTTAATTTTACTTACAGTTAAATTTGACTAGAAATAATAATTCACTTATTTTGAATTTAGTTTTGAGAATGTTTACATTGATCATCAAAAAGAAAATAAACCAAACCAAACTTCTCTGGTCAATATTTACATTTTATTCAAAGTTGAAATAAAATTTAAAAAATCTTAAGTATTAATAATGAAAAATCAGTTCAGTATATGAATTAAACTTTGAATATTTCACTATTATTAAATAAGATAATATTTTCAAAATTGGTTAAAAACTGTTAATGTAATATGAGAAAACAGTAGTTGTACTAGTTACAAAGTGAACCTGATATGAGTCAGCTTTAAATTTTATTAGTCATGTATTTTATATTGTCGTGAGCTAAGTTAGTTATTTTCGGTTTAAAACAAGATATTGATAATGTTTTTTAAATCAATGAACAATATGTACAAGTTTCTTTAGGTTGAAATTAGTGAAAAATCACATACATGTTGACTTTTTATTATCTGAAAACATGCAATAACTTAAAAATGTACAATAAATGTACAAGTAATAGCGTTACGTAAAATAGCATTTGTATGATGGAATGTGGCTATCTTGGCAAAATTACAAGATTCCATTTATTTTGTTCAAACAAAGGTTTGTTAGATGTTTGAACACACCTTATTGAATACCATACACAAAGTGTTTGCTACATGTGGTTAGGAATGCATGGATAAAAAACTAGCATAAACACTGTCTATTAATGACATTTTACTTTTCTAAGCCATTTTTCTCTCTCTGAATTGAATGTGTCATTAAATAAGACTTCTTAATCTCTTAAATATACTCTGTACATATGTTTTAAAATGGGCCGCTGAACACATATTTCTTTTATGTGTTTCTTAAACTTTACATTTCACCTCCTGTTGGATGTGTTTTGTTGTCTTATTCTACCAAGTCAACTTCATGTTTCCACTACTGTAATGATCCTAAACTTCTTAAAATATTGTAGTCTTTGTTTATGTCAGAATCTATTATATATCATCCAAGCTGTCACCTAATCTACAGAAACATTTCTGTAAAATAAATTTTCATTTAAGGATTGACTTGATAACTGTACCATATAAGGATTATGACATGATAACTGTACCATTCAATCTAGAGCTGCCTTGATTTCTGGTGTATATATACATTTTCAAAATTGGTTATAATGTGTTTTTTGGAGTTTATAGTGTTCAACTATAATTTGATTTATCTATTAAATCGATATATGTGCTTTGTTATTAATTACCATATTTCTTTAAATTCATCTTTTCATTATAGATCCAAAGTCATACTTGAACAACAGTTGTGGAAAGCACTTAACTGGATATCATACTATAAAACAAAAATTTCTCTTTTTTAAGTCAAAAAGTGACAAATCCTTAAATCCAAGTACTGTTAATTTATTTGATGAAACACTGTTGTGGGAAAATAACAGAAAAACACACAAAATTTTCCACAGTGAAACTAAATCATGCAGTAAAATTGTGTGTGAAAAAGAATTGGAAATAAGTCAACATCCAAAATTGAATGTAAGGACACACACTGGGAAAAAACAACACAGGTGTGTAGTGTGTGGCAAACAGTTTCTAACAAATTGTTACCTAAAAATTCATTTAAGGATACACACTGGAGAAAAAACACTCAAATGCATTGTGTGTGGCAAACAATTTGTGACACAGAATAATTTAAAAATACATCTGAGAATACACACTGGGGAGAAGCCATACAGTTGTGTAGTGTGTGGCAAAGAATTTGAAACAAATACTCACCTACAAGCACATGTGAGGATACACACTGGAGAGAAACCATACAATTGTGAGGTGTGTAATAAAGGATATCAAACCAACAGTCAGTTAAAAATACACGAGAGAGTACATACTGGTGAGAAACCTTACACTTGTGTAGTTTGTGACAAGAATTTTAGGAGTAAAAGTCAACTTAACAGACATGAGAAGGTGCACACCGGAGAGAAAACATACAACTGTTTAGTCTGTGGAAAATCATTTGCAATGAATTCCTATCTACAAGAACACGTGAGGTTGCACACTGGAGACAAACCATACAGCTGTATTTTATGTAATAAAAAATATCGAAGCAGGAGTCAACTGAAAATACATCGGAGGATACACACTGGGGAAAAACCATATACTTGTATGGTGTGTGATAAAAGATTTAGGAGTAAAAGTCAACTTAATAGACATAAGAAGGTGCACAGTGGAGAGAAACCACACAGTTGTTTAAAGTGTGGAAGAAAATTTGTTACAAATACCTGTCTAAAAGAACATGTGAGGATACACACTGGAGAGAAACCATACATTTGTGTGCTGTGTAATAAAGGATATCGCAGCAATAGTCAGTTAAAAAAACATGAGAAAGTACATACTGGAGAGAAACCATACGGTTGTGTGGTTTGTGACAAGAAATTTGGGAATAAAAGTCATCTTAACAGCCATGAAAGGATACACACTGGAGAGAAACCATACAAATGTGTAGTGTGTAATAAAGGATTTCAAATCAATAGTCAATTAAAAAGGCACGAGAGAGTACATACTGGTGAGAAACCGTACACTTGTGTAGTTTGTGATAAAAAATTTAGGAGTAAATGTCAACTTAATACACATGAGAAGGTGCACACTGGAGAGAAACCATACAGTTGCTTGGTGTGTGATAAAAAGTTTAGGAGTAAAAGTCAGCTTAACACACATGAGAAGGTGCACACTGGAGAGAAACCATATAGTTGTTTAGTGTGTGGAAAAAGATTTGTAACAAATACCTGGCTACAAGAACATGTTAGAATACACACTGGAGAGAAACCATACAGTTGTTTAGTGTGTGGTAAGGGATTTCGAAGCAATATTCAGTTAAAAGAACATGAAAGAGTACATACTGGAGAGAAACCGTATAGTTGTGTGGTGTGTGGTAAGGGATTCCGAAGCAATAGTCAGTTAAAAGAACATGAGAGAGTACATACTGGGGAGAAACCTTACAGTTGTGTGGTGTGTAGTAAGGAATTCCGAAGCAATAGTCAGTTAAAAGAACATGAGAAAGTACATACTGGGGAGAAACCATTCAGTTGTGCAGTTTGTAGTAAAGAATTTAGGAATAAAAGTAATCTTAACAGACATGAAAAGATGCACACTGGAGAAAAACCGTACAATTGTTTAGTGTGTAATAAAACATTCGAGAGTGAAAATGAACTTAAAAGACATGAGAAAATACACACTGGGGAAAAACCGTACAGTTGTGTGGTGTGTGGTAATGGATTCCGAAGCAACACTCAGTTAAAAGAACATGAAAGAGTACATACTGGGGAAAAACCATATAGTTGTGCTGTTTGTAGTAAAGAATTTAGAAGTAAAAGTAATCTTAACAGACATGAAAAGGTGCACACTGGAGAAAAACCATACAATTGTTTAGTGTGCAATAAAACATTCGAGAGTGAAAATGAACTTAAAAGACATGATAGAGTACATACTGGGGAGAAACCATACAGTTGTGCAGTTTGTAGTAAAGAATTTAGAAGTAAAAGTAATCTTAACAGACATGAAAAGGTGCACACTGGAGAAAAACCGTGCAATTGTTTAGTGTGTAATATAACATTCAAGAGTGAAAATGAACTTAAAAGACATGAGAGAATACACACTGGGTTGTATAATGTGTAGCAAAGAATATGGAAGAAGTAGTAAACTGAAAACTCATCAGAGAACACATCCTGGAGAAAAACCATAGAGTTGTTTAGTGTGTGATAAAATATTTGGAAGAATTTGTTATCTTTCTGTTCACCAAAGGATACACACTGATGATAAACCATATTCTTGCATAGTTTGTGGTAAATAGTGATCTGGGAATACACATACTAGAGAGTAACCATTTAGGTTTCTTAGTGTGTGGAAGAAATTTATACATAATTATCAACTTAAAAATGTACACAAACTGTAAATGCTTGAAACAGAGCTGGGGAATTTAATCAATTTCTTATAAGTAACAATCATGTCAGTTAGTATCACATAAACTATTGTTTAATCAAAATTAGTATTTCCAGTTTTTCATTACTCCAACTACCAAAGTAATCAAAACATTATCACCTAATATGCTTGCCCTGTGTTTTTCATGGTAAGACTACTAAGGTTATCTTTCACTATCATTAAATTTGAATTGCTAACTAGATAGCTTCCTGGCAGCACTGGTCACAAAGCTCCCCTTTTTTTTTTTTTAACTGCTGACTAGAAGGAAAGCAGAATATGGCCAACAGTTAATCAGTCACCAACTGCCACTAATTACCAAGCTCTAGCCTGAAATCAAGAAATGGTGAACTGTTTTGGCATTTTATTAAGAGAATTTCTTTGCCTTTGGAAAAGTGTTATGCATATTTTGTAAATAAGCTATTTTATATAAATTCAAATTTTGTATCCATGTTTATGACCCCCCAGTGGCACAGCGGAATGTTTGCGGATTACAACGCTAGAATCCGGGTTTCGATACCCATGGTGGGCAGAGCACAGATAACCCATTGTGTAGCTTTGTGCTTAATTACAAACAAACGTATCCATGTTTATACTGATTTATCAAAAAGTGTAATTGTTGTTGAAATTTCTTTTGGTTTTGTACTTGGGTATAATTTTAAGATTTTACTTATTATTATTTCATTTTTTGAAGTGATTTTGGTGATTGAAATTTTGATTTAGCTTGAATTTCATTTTAGATTGGCTTTTATTATTATTATTATTACATACTTAGAATGTATTTACCATCAGTTCTTTCAACTATACATTATCAGCAAATGAGGGTTTTTCCTATTTTTATGTGTATTATTGTCTCAACTGTTTTTTAATAATAAGTTAATGAACTTTATGTTCATAGTTGAACAAGATTATACTTTGTAATTAAAAGGTTTATTTTGTGTATCATGTTTTAAATTATTTTATATGTGTTAATATATTGTTATTGATTATACATTTGTTTCTGTAGTATTATATGTTTATTGGGTTTATTTGATGTGGTTTTAACTGTACTTTCATATGTTGTGTGTCATAGTTGAAGGTGTTTGTTGCCTGTATTGTATAATATGATTTACTAATAATAAAAGTAATAATAGATTACAAGGTTGCTACAATTGTTTCTTTTAACCTGTAATTTGTGTCTGATAACTCCACTTTATATGGCTGAGCTTGTTTTATAACTTGTAGTTTTCCCACATTGATAATGTTTTTCTTATAGATGTCACTCTTTCTCACACATATAATACAAACAGTGTTACATGAATTATTCATTCAATGTCACTGGTTTTGGCTGTGAAGTACTGGATTAACCAATGATAGAATGAATATATTTTGTTTTTAGCTATTACTGTCCACTTTTGGGGAAGAGGCTGATTTTCAGCTTTCTTTCCATGCAGCCGTTATGGTTCATATTTAGAAACTACTGCTTTGTATGCAACATGGAGTCACAGTGTAATATATGGAACATTGCAGGTTTGATCCTAACCCAGGACGTATTTTTTTTTCATAAATTTCACAGTAGATGCATTCCCTTTTATTTTGTTGTTGTCATATAAGTGAAATATTGTAGAAGGTTGGGTGTTGTGTAATATAGATATGATGTTTCATAAGTCTGTACATTTGTATTGGAAAACCTGGCAGTAGAGGAAAAATACATTGGAGCCTGGTTTTGGAAAATTATTTCTCTTACTGTATAACATATAATGATTTTTGTTTCACATTTGGGTGGAGTTTTATTCAGACAACATATGATAAGTGGAATGGTGTTTCTGGCTGATGTAGTTTAGGTGTATCAATATCTCAGAAACAGCAAACTATTCATGCTGTAATAGTCACTGGTACAGCTAGGTGATTTAATATAATCAATTACCTATGAACAGCAGTTACATAGATTAGTATCTCGTAGACTAACAAATTAATCAAAATTAGTGCTTTCTATTATTACTGTTTTTGATCATTTCAACAATCAATTAATCAAAATCACAATTTAATCGACTGTCATAAAAATCAAATAATTGAAGTTAGTGTTTTTGATTACTTAGTGTGTTTTATTATTCCAAATATCCAAGTAATTGATGTATTGGCATTATGGTTTGCTTGTTTGTTTGTTTGTGTTTTGTTTTTTTTGTTTTTTTTTTTTTATTATTATTATTATTATTATTAAGATGTTGTCATGGTAAATTTTCATGTTGTGGCTTTTAACAGACACACTAAGAATGTGTCAAGATTTTAGAGAATTGTTTTAATCAAAGTTGATATTTTTTAGGATACTTGCATCTCCTATAATGTTTACTTGTTACATAATCAATTTTTTATAGTTTAGAAGTTAGAATTCTTGTGTATTCCTCAATGGATCAGCTGTGATTCTGGCTTACAATGCAAAAAATCAGGTTTCAGTAATATATAGCATTGTGTAGCTTTGTGCTAAACATCGACCAAAACCAAATAAAATTCTTATGAGAAAGATGTTTTTGTATTGTTAATGTCTGAAATAAGTGAAAATGCAAGTTTTAAGATTGTATAATAATGACATAAAATTTTTTATTAGACACACAGGCATCCTGTTTACTATAATTGTTTTTTATAGCTGTTTAATTATAAATATTATAACTGTTAATTCTAATTTAGAAAATTTGAGATATTTGTTTTTAGCTTTTTATTTTCATATCAAGATATGAGCTTTGAGATAGCTGGATTAGTACAGAATACATAAACATTATTTTAACTGTTTGACATAGTTAGGTTACTTTAGAACTATTTGGTTGACAATGATTAATCCAAGATACTGTATTATTTTTGTGGAAGTTTCTTCTTTCGTATAAAAGTACTGAAAACTGGATTATGGTGTTACACAGCTAATTGGTATCATACTGCAGCTAGTGCTGACAAGTTAAATACAATAATACTATATTATCTGAATAGACTTTCTAGTATTATTCTTAATCATTCCTCAAAGATTTACAAACTTTATAAGATAAAGTTTTATTTTACAAAAATAAATTGATATTATTCTAATTTAAATTTTGACTTTAAATTTAGGCTATGTGGAAATATCCAAAATTTGTAGTTTTATACTTTGACTAAGTATATATTTACTGACTAAATAAAATAATTTATGATTGATCCTTTCTCTTAAATGGTTACAAAGTGCTTGAGTAATTGCAATGTTATAGTTACAACATTTGTGGCCCAATATTTTCAGAAACATGCTTATGAATAGGTAAAACAATAATGAACTGTCTGAAAAAGTGTACACAGTATTGTTTGTAAATGTTAAACAATGCAGTTGCATTGTGTATATGATACATTTTCTTCTACAAGCTAAAAAATTAAAATCAATATTTTGTTATTTTATATTTATTTAGTGTAATTCATGAAGAAAAAAAGATTAATATTTTCATTTCTGCAAAGCTGTGAAAAGTTTTTGTCTGTAGACAAAATAACCATCTTTTCAAATGTTTTTAGAAATTTTCTGCCCATTCCTGAGAATAACCTATCACCTCTTGAGAATAATTTCATATTTTGCTTTTCAATGGCTATAAAGAAAGTTTAAAAACAAGAATTAGTCTATCACTTAATAGTAAAGAAAGTTTAAATATGTTTAGACAGAACAAGAATTAGTTTATCACTTAATAGTAAAGAAAGTATAAATATGTTTAGACAGAATTATTGTTTTGACAGACAATAATACAACTTAGGTTGGAACCTGATAATTGGGTTTTGGCAGTGGTTTTGACTGGAATAATTCATAACTTGTCTGTTGAGGGAAAAATTAATCATGTGATGGATCAGATAAGGAAACTGTTAGAAGAGCAGTCTCTGTTCTGATGATAGGTCAACAACAACCTCCTAACTATTATGAATGAGAGCAACTGATGATCAGGTTTTAGGATAATTGGGTGATTGAAAAAGTCAGTATCTAAAGGTACATGTATTTCATATTTGTTAAATGTTGGTTCAAAGTAATATGTGTTGAGGCTGTTGTGTGACAATATTTTGATTTTTCTACAGTTGATATGTTCTGATGTCTTGTGATCATTACTCTATTTATCTAGCTAAATAGTCTCAGCATTTCTGTGGAGAAGAGGGCACAGTATTTACTAGACTTATAAGAGAGATGAGGTTAGCGAAAAAAAAATATCCAGTGAAAATATAAACTTGGTTTTGACATGGAACTCTATAAAACCATTATGTTCAAAGAATCTTGCAATAATAGATTTTTGACGTACTGAAAAATGTTGATGCCAGAATGAGAATGTGAAAAATGCATATTTATACCTATATTCTTTGTGCCTGTCACAAATTTTATAAGAACACAAATGTAGAAAAGTAAGAGATGTGGTATCACAAGTGTCTTGGTCGGAACACTACATATATATTAATTTGATACAATTTTTATGGAATGGTTGTTTGTTTGTTTTGAATTTCGCGCAAAGCTACACGAGGGCTATCTGTGCTAGCCATCCCTAATTTAGCAGTGTAAGACTAGAGGGAAGGCAGCTAGTCATCACCACCCACCGCCAACTTTTGGGCTACTCTTTTACAAACGAATAGTGGGATTGACCATAACATTATAATGCCCCCACGGCTGAAAGGGCGAGCATGTTTGGTGCAACGGGGATTCGAACCCGCGACCCTCAGATTGCGAGTCGAGCGCCCTAACCACCTGGCCATGCTGGGCCAGGAATGATTGGAATACTATTATTATACACTTGCTAAATCTAAAGTTAGGAAGATTAGTGGGAAAAACAACAGCTAAAAGAGTAAGTTGACCAGTGATGTTTGGTATTGATATGACCTGGTGTCTTGTAATCATTAATCTGTTTATATAACTGAATAATAGCTGCATTTCTATGAAGAAGAATGTACAATGACTGCTAGATACATAGGACGGAGGAGTTCTCTAAAAAAGTATTCAAGCGAAATTGACACTTGTTTTTAACTATTGATGATGCCTAAGAAATTTTAAACTATATTGTGCAAACTGTTTTTGTTCTAGGCATTACAACAACTAGCACCAGCCCCCATAAACTGTAAAGTAATCAAGTGGTGATCTCTCATTGTAGTGCATGATTTGTACCAGGAAATACCACCAGATAGCTTGGAAATTAAGGATTGACAGTTCCTTTCAGTCATTAGTTTTTTCAAACAAATGACTATCCTAGCTATTGGTATTCAGTTAATTTCGGCCATATTGATTTGGATTTCACCATCAGTTGCTTGGTTGTCTATTGGAGGTGTCTCTCGC